TATAAACATGTAGTTATATTGTACTGCTACTATTCCCAAAAATTTGGTATAAAAGTAACTATTTGTGAGTCGCCAATTGTTTTTCATTTTTTCTTATCTCATAATAATCCAAATTGTACATGTAAGTAAACAATATTTTATACGATAAATACAGAGAAGAATTTTCGCCGAAATTAGTTACTGTGTAGTAGCACCTTCCGGACACATACATAAGTGGTAATATGAACCACGATAAAAGAAGTAGGTCATTTTTTACTTTTTCTTTGTTTTCTAATTCTAATGGTGTGTGTTTTATAACCTTCAGATATTGGTAATGCTGTTAAACAAAGCAGAATACTTTTTGGGCCACCTGCAGGAAAACAATTTCAAGATGCACGAGGACTAGGGAGAATTATTTATGAAAAACTAAAGGACAATGGCAACAACGTTATGCAGGTATAACTAGTAAAATTTTTAATTTGAAATTTCAATAATGAAATGAATCTGGGCTAACTAAAAAGTTGCAAATAAACTTATTAAGACAGAGGATTAGAAATCAACGAGCTTGTTTATCAATTTTTAACATGTACCTATATATCAATTGTTAAACTTTCTAAAAATCATCACCTTATCTCGACATGTTCGCATTAAACACCTGGATTATTTTAAGAACAGTTAGTTCAACGTTAAGTTCATTTACAGATTAATTTATTATTACTTACGTAAGATATGTGTAAGAATTGCAAAGTAAACCTAAGTTGATAAGGGTTGTAAATGATTTATTATTGGAAAGCCAACAATGACATTTCGCCGTTTCGAGGCTATAAGGATTAACAGTAGATATGTATGGCTAGGCATGTTAAAAGAAGTCAGATTTACTCATGATGATGATATAAGTTCCGTTTCTTCCCCATATAATAACGAAAGGTAACAAGGGAAAAAACCTGTATCACCAAGGAATAATTTATTACAGGTGAATGATGGGGACACCGAGGATAGAGAAAGTTATAAATAAGGAGGTATTAGAAAGCGTAAGAAAAGAAAGAGCACTAAGGAAGTGAACAAAATATAGGCGAAATAGGTTGGTTAGTCTTAGTTGACGACCTTATGATGATGATGAGGTTGGTAGAACACCGTCTTAGGTATGAATAGTTAGTTAGAGACATATTAGAAACAGAAACAGGAGTTAAAAGGAGTAGAGGTAGACCTATACTACTCACAAATGCTTGAGGATGCGAGGTGTTCTAGTTTTAGGAATATGAGAAAGGTAGCTCACATAGGAGAGAGTGGAGATGTATGTCCGACCAGTTTTAGGATAGAAAATGATGACGATATTCCTTGAGAATTTGAGATACATATATGCTCATATCGTTGAATAAGGCGCTATTTCCATAAAAAATCGCCTCAGTATCTTTTTAAGTTTTATTTGGCGTTACTTTTGATAAATTGAAATAAAATAATCAAATACAGTTTTATCGTTCCTGACTTTCGATCACAATTTCTAATTTCTTTAAAATCAATGATTTATTGACTTCTTGAAAAGAAATCGATCAGTTTCTTTTATCACCCTACACTGTGGAATCTCCCTTTACGAACACTTCTCTCTAGCGATGATTCTCTCATAAGCGGACACTTTTTCTATAGTTCTAGGAACTTACGTTGTATTCGAATGACCGAGTAAGTCTTTATTATTTTATTATTTTATTGTTTTATTATAGCCAAATATGCGTACTGACTTGTTTGTCAATCTTATTACGGTTAGTTCATAAAAGCAGTTGCGAAAGAAGGTACTGTACTTCCTCATAATATCTAAACTAAAACTCAATGTGTTGTCGAACCGTATTTTTATAGACCTCTAAAAGTGAGACAGATTCCTTCTGTAAGCTAGAAACTCGGGTTAGTGAGAAACTTCTATAAGAGAAAAACAGACCGCGGTTCCTTGAGCTCTCACTTATCCAGGTTCGACTGTACATACATATGTACAATACATACACGCAGTTTTAAATGCTATCTAACTTAAACTTCTATTATCCCTTTCCTTTAAAGTTAGTATGTAAGATTACTATTGTAAATAATATACGAAAATAATAAATAAGAATAATAATATATATTTGTACGTATGTATGTAGGTATACAAGTGTATGTTTTTTTGAATTTTTTAATTCTCTCTTAAACGGTCACCTCTCTTAAGGTGACGTTTTTTGCAGTACCGTCGCTGCCCGCTAATTAGATATTCTACTGTATTTCATAAATGAGATAGAACCATACCGTTTACGAATTACAATATTGAATTAAATCGAAATTAATTTCTTAATAGCATTTTATCTAATATTTGAATCGTTAAATACTTATGTCCTGATAAGCAGCATTTTTTATAGAATAAATTTTTTGTACTATTCATGATGTTGGTAAATTTGAACACTATCTTTTCCTACAGTGGCGTAGCAGACAGAGAAAAAGAAAACAAAGACCGACTTCAAGATTATACCTACATAAACCTACAAACTTAAGCTAAAAAAATAGAAAATAATTTTAACTACTTCAAGGCAAAATGCATTATAGAACAATCGACAAAAACATTGATACTTGTGTACATTTACAATTTATAATCAGTTATTTTTGGAGTCGGTGCCATCAAGAGGGACAGTTTAATTTTGTCTTTGCAACAAACTTTTCGTCCCATTTCTTTTATCTTTCGCATTCATNATATATGCTCATATCGTTGAATAAGGCGCTATTTCCATAAAAAATCGCCTCAGTATCTTTTTAAGTTTTATTTGGCGTTACTTTTGATAAATTGAAATAAAATAATCAAATACAGTTTTATCGTTCCTGATTTTCGATCACAATTTCTAATTTATTTAATATCAATGATTTATTGACTTCTTGAAAAGAAATCGATCAGTTTCTTTTATCACCCTACACTGTGGAATCTCCCTTTACGAACAGTTCTCTCTTAAGGTGACGTTTTTTGCAGTACCGTCGCTGCCCGCTAATTAGATATTCTACTGTATTTCATAAATGAGATAGGACCATACCGTTTACGAATTACAATATTCTATTTTTATCACACTGCTAATAAACTAAATCGAAATTAATTTCTTAATAGCATTTTATCTAATATTTGAATCGTTAAATACTTATGTCCCGATAAGCAGCATTTTCTTTATAGAATAAATTTTTTGTACTATACATGATATAGGTAAATTTGTACACTATCTTTACCTACCGAGCACCGTGCGGAGCACAGAAAAAAAAACAAAAACCGACTTGAAGATTATACCTACATAAACCTACAAACTTAAGCTAAAAAAATAGAAAATAATATTTTAACTACTTCAAGGCAAAATGCATTACAGAACAATCGACAAAAACATTGATACTTGTGTACATTTACAATTTATAATCAGTTATTTTTGGAGTCGGTGCCATCAAGAGGGACAGTTTAATTCTGCCTTTGCAACAAACTTTTCGTCCGATTTCTTTTATCTTTCGCATTTTCAGAGATTCAAAGAAATTACAATTGTGCAAGGGGTTCAGACGGTTGAAGGTTCTAAGTAGGTATAGAGGAATTTAGGCAATAAAAATGAATGTAGAAGTCATGTACAACTGAAAAACTGGAATAATACACTACTAAACAAACATAATAAAATATATACAACAAATAGGTTCTATACACAACAACGTAAATAATCATATTATCAGAGTTTATCTGTTTTCCATATTTCATGCTTACTTGCTGATCTTAATCAACAATTTTCGCAATATTACATAAAAGAATGTATAACAACAATATTGACCCACAAGGAAATGTATTTTTGTTTTTAAAAACAAGTACGTAAGCTAAAGATAAATATTGTTTATTGCTATTAAACGTAAGCCATAATTAACACTTCAGCCACCATTCATACA